AACCTTCCTGTAAGGTCTTCTCTAAATTCTCAAGGCATCTGATGGTCACTGGTCCACAGGTCACAATCACTGACCCTGTCACTAAGTTTTACAAAACGCCACTCTCAGAGTGTTCCTGTATAATGTGCTTTCCTGGGATGCAAACAGGGCTTCAGAGCCCAGCAGAAACCTGGGTTTGAGCCATGACTTCACCAATTCCTGGGAAGGACGTTTTCTCTCTCCAAGACTCACATTTCATTTTCAATAAACTGGGACACACAGACTTTACCTGTTTGTTTTTGTGTTAGAATTAAATAGGGTGATGACGCAAGGCACAGACCACAGTAGATTGTTTAATAAATGTTAGTTTATTTCCTCTCTATCCCACCCCTGGCACTCTAAGAGTACCCTTAGTGCAAGGACTTTTTTTTTTTACTCCTTTTTATTCCGAGGGAGTAATACTGTACACGACACTCAATAAATGAGCAGAAAACAAGGAAAAAGGGAGGAAGGAACATAGGTGAGAAAGAAAGGAGGAAAGAAATTAAATAATGAAACAAATGAAGCTAGAAGCAAAAAAAAGAAAAAGAAAAAAGGACCCTGATCTGTTAGAGCTAAGTTATAAACACTAGTCATTTGAAACCTAAGAAGAGCAAGTTCATTAAGACCAGAGAGCGGATGTTAAAATGGGAAATCAAGTAACTTCCCTAGGTAGAAATAACACAGCAAAGAATCGTCTAAATATGAAAGATCACAGAGCTCTTGGAAACAAAATCTAAATAGGAAACGCATCCCAAACTAACAGAAGAGAAGGCTGCTTGCAACGTCCTTTTTTCATCTTAAAGTCATTGCAAAGGGCGGTCACAGATGAGCACGTTATACAAGTTGTGCCGAAGTCTCACTCTGTGTGTCCGGGGTGGCGTTCCAGCTGGAGAGCAGAGGGCAGGGGCAGTATTCCTCTCCTCTCCCTGGACTCTGCCTGCTTCTCTTCCCCTTCTTCTGTTTCTGACAGAGGCAGCACCCCACAATAAAACTTCACAAAATGTGTCCCTGTTTCAGGGGGCAGGACAGAGTTCCTTTAAGTTAGGGACACAGTTCAGTGAGAGGCATTTATAAAAACAGTTTTATTTTTATGGCTCAGTAAATGTTTATTGAAGGAACCACATTCTTTGTGATGACATGTGTCAGATCCAAACTCTCTTGTTGACAAGGCTCCTGATGGGGGAGGAAGGCGTTGCCAGCTCTGCCCATGATCTCAGCTTCCTCACTCTGTAGGCACTGGGCACATGGGGCTTTTAGAAGTGGCTGCTGCCACAGCTGTTACTTTACTTTAGTAGTAAAGTGAAATAACCTGAACTCAAGCCACGGAGAAGAAAAATGAGAAACATCAAAAGTATGTGAAGAACAAAACACAAGAAAAAGAAAGCAAATGATCACAGAATGCTTCTTACATATAGGCAAGCAGAAGGGAGGGGACTGGAGGGTGTTTCCATTCTATTCAGATGAAGAGCAACTGAAGAATGAAGCCAGGGCCATGGATACTAAAAAAACATTTTGAAATAAAAATTAAAGCCGGGACATAAGCAGCCTGGTGGCGCAGCAGATTAAAGCACAACACTAAGAAGCTAAAACCACTTCAGCATGAGTTCAATCCCCACCCCGGAGGTGACTCACATGGCCTGGAAGACCTCTCCTGACCCGCCTGCTGCTCCCCTCTGCAGTGTACTTCATCAGTCGGACTTTTCTGCCCCTCCCCCCCACTCTGTCTCTGGTGTCCTCTCACTGTCCCTGCACCTCTGGCCTGTGCCCCAGCTCTGTATGCACAAATAAATATCTTAAAAAGAAAAGGGGGGCCCTCCTGGTGGTGCAGCGGGTTAAAACACTGCACTGAGAAGATAAAGCCACTTCCGCATGAGTTCGATTCCTGCCTGCCCCGGAGGTGACCACATGGTACAGCAGACCTCTCCTGACCTGCTCGCTGCTCCCCTCAGCAGTTCACTTCGTCGATCTGCCTGTTCTGCACCCCGCTCTGTCTCTGGTGAATCTTCTCACCCTCTGCATCTCTGGCCTGTACCCCAGTTCTGTACGAATAAATAAATAAATCTTTAAAAAAAAAATAGGACCTAAGTAAAGTGTGGCATTTGGGGATGGCTACCGGTTTCAAACCCTGAAATAAACTGAAGAGACAAATTGAATCTGAAGATATTTTAAATCACTCAGTCATCCAATTCAAGAAAAATATTCTTACCCTCTTTCACTGACACATAATAACATAATATGGCCAGCAGAACTATGTCAGATGAGCTAAAAGGGTAACAGTGTGATACAACAGGGAGAACGTAAGGCAGGACGGAGCTGTGCTGTTATGCCCATGAGCAGGCAAAAGAAAGAATGGTTTCCGCCGGTGAGGACAGGAGGGTGGGCAGGCACCCAAGCATGGGTGGCTGCTTGTGAGTCATAGCTGGCAGGGCCAGAAATGAGATCATAAAACAGCATGGATGGCAGATTTTAGAAGGGCAAACAGTTCAGAAACATTGAAGAGTTAAAGTTAACCGAAAACACGAAATGGCGGTGAAGGCATCACAACACCCAGCAGATGCTTTCTTCAGGGTGGGGTAAAGGGGGCCCCAAACTGGAATGATCCTACATAGTATTCTTCCCAAGGCCCACTGTTTGAATTTCTGCGGAAGAGAAGCATGCCGTTTTATAGGGTAGCCAAGAAAGTATTGGCCACTATAAGGGTAGAGAGATACAGCTCTGTGAATGCGAAACCAGAGGTTCAAATATCTGTGTTCAGATACCAACTCTGCCATTGTTTTGCAGGGGGTAACTCTGTGTGTCACACACACAAAGCCCACACACTCCTGCCAATTAGCAAAAAGCCTGAAAGTCAACAGTAAAATAACAGAACTAAAATATGAAAGTCTTAAAATTCTAGAAAGTTACAGATTAGAAGACAGGAATACAGGCCTCAAGGTAAATAAAAAACCTGGGATGAACGACAACAGTTTTTTTCTCCCAAGTATAGAAATGACAACTCCGAGAGCCCTGAGCCCAGCTGTTTGAGGGAGCCAGGCCCACTCACCCCCACCAACCCTGTGTCTAAACCCACAGCCGAGAAGGGCACAGCCTGGTCTCAGGACATTCCATTCCGTGATTATTTGATGACGTCTCTGTCTCCTACTCTCTTACCAGGGTACAATTTTCTAAAAGCAGAGAAAATCCTTCCCAAGAAAATAAACACTCCCAGACAACTGTCCCATTCTGTTACCTATTTGGATTATATAATTGCTAGGAAGTCAAGACTTTCTTACTGACACACCGAAAAAAGAATGCTCAGCCCTTAAGCTGAAACGCTTTTTCTCCACTACCCAAAATACCCCAAAATACCCCAGCTCCCTAGAAAGCAAACTACAGAGCCCACCGTGATGGGATAAAAGCTGTCTCAGCCTTCTTGGGATGAAGGTGTTTTAAGTCTGTGGGGAGAGGTAAGTTCTGTCACCTCACTCTTCCAAGGTAACAATGGTGGAGCCCTCACTAGGCCCCAAACTGACCTAAGAAGGAAGAGAACACTGGATATTTTTCCTGGCTCCGCTGAGGATTATTTAGACAAGCAGACATCTTAATTTTTTTTCCCAACTGCCCATCACTTACCAGCCACCAAGTAAAACTGTTAACCCCCTCCTTACCTACTCCTCCCACCTACCACCAGGGTAAAAGCCACTGGACCAAGCACCCTCAAACACCACAGCACACAACACTAATTACGCTACCTGTACTTTGCTGGCTGAGGCAGCAGTAAAAAAGCTAAGTGTTCCTTTTTATAGCCTGCTCTAACTTGTTTGTCTGGATCAATGTAGAAATAGCAGCAATTTGCTCTTCATAACTCCTCTCCAGGAATAGAAAGGACTAGATATTCCTGGAGTGCTTCTTCACTCATGTATCAGAAGGTGCACTGCTTGCAATCATTGCACTTTGCTCACTTGGTTGTTGGGAGATTAAATGAGATAGTACATGTAAAATGCTGAGCAAGAATCTGGCACACACTAAACCCAGCTCGTAAGTCATTCTAAGGCAAAACAAAGCAAAAACCAACCAAAGCAAGAAGGAGGGCAGAGAGAGAAAGTGAGACTGTCTCTGAGGCTTACTGGAAATAGGAAAGTATAAATAACAGACATTTCCACAGCACACCGGAGATGTCTTTGCTGTTCTCTACCTTTCTCATAACTGCTCCCTTACTAGCAATTCTGCAGACTTGCCACAACCAACCTGCCCATGCCTCATTAGTGGGCCCAACATCCAATACTGAGAAGTAGTAGAGCCTTTGAAATAATGAAACTAGAATTGCAAAAGAGCTTAAAGAAATTCTACAAAGTCCTTTGGCAAGTTTTGCTAGGAAAGTCCAAGACTCCACACTTGGCAACTATTATTAGTGTGTGTGTATGTGGGGGGGGGTGGTGTTGGGGGTGGAGGGAAAGTAAATAAACCATCTCCTAAAAGTATAGCTCTTCTTCAAATTTTAAGCTACCAATGAATACTTCCTAAGGTACACCTAGCAATCAATCTTTTTTGTATTCAGTTCTGTTGTTCTGTTGTTCTGTTGTTCTGTTGTTCAGAGACGAATTATGTTTTCTTCAAGGTACAAAACTGTTTTATGTAGTGATACAGGGAGGGTTTTATTGTGATAGGTGGCAAAGTGAATAATGTCTGGACTCCAGAACAGGTGATGCATTTTTAACAGTCATGAGACTGTGTGGCAAAAAAGCAAATGGTCGTAAAACTTTAAATGTTTATTTGGTATTATGCCCATGTAATCTGCAAAAATTAGGGTTCATGTAGTTTCTAAACCATGCTTTCCCAAACACAAAGAGCAAATGCAGCCATAACGTTAGAGAGGGTGAGAAATGTTCTACCCCTTACTGGATATTTGGCTTATTTAACATGACAAGTTTATAATAACCCTCAATTACCAAGAATGTATGTTCTCTATGATTTGAGGTAATAAGTGCAACTTGTAAAAGTCAGGGTTTGGTTTTTTTTTATTATTATTATTTAATACATTCTAATCAAATAGTAACAGCAGTAAATAAACACTTTGGAAAACAGGCAGGTATCCCCCTATAGCTGGAAGAAAATTAAGTCCAAATGTTCTACATGGTAGAAGGGAGACAACTGCTGATGTCCACGGTTAACAAGTCAAGGGCAACTTGGAAATTTCTAAAGCCATTTCCAAAGTCAATGGCAACAGGTTGGGACACAGCTACTTCAGAATAAAGTGTCTATATCTACATGGTTTTGTTAAACACGGATTGAATTGCACCTGTATAGCATGACATTCTTGTCTTTAGCCTTAAAGGAAAAGACAGAGTCTTTTCTGTTTGCACCAGTTTGAAATATTTCTGAAATAAGGCTCCCTTAAAATGGATTACTACAGTACTCATTCGCATGAGAGTTCATACATGTAGTAAAAAGACAAATACAGGATTTCATGGTCATTTTTGTTTTTTGGTTGATTTGGTTAATTGCATAAAATGAAGGATAAATACTCACAAGTATATCTGCTTTACAAAACTCCAAGGTACATCAGACTGCAAAGTAGTAACTGTCCTACAGAGCCTCTGACCACTGGGCATGTAAACGTGAAGTTGAGCCTGGGTCAGTTGGGGCCTCCACTTCTTTGGACTCCTGTGTGAGCTTTGTCTCCTAGCAGAACTGACCTTCCACCTCAGAAAGGCCAGGCATTCTGATCAAATGTTCCTTCAGCCTTTACTGGGGACATTTTATTTAAAAGGATCAACTGCTTAGGAAGGATAGGAAGGGATGCAACACTTGGGCGAAAATATCAGGGAGAACTTTAAATACCTCACTACCTTGTCACACCTTTAAATTAGATTGGCTTCGGCTGTTCTGAGCTTTCGGCGTGGTTATCCAGAGCAGTCACTCAAGTTTTGATTCTCTTTTACATAGCTGCATTCGGAGCGACTCTACATGAGGCATGTTTAGAAAAAGAGAAACACTTATACCTGGAATTTATATTCTTCCAAGTAATCTTTTAGTCTTGTTGGCAAAGGCAGTCCCCAGATGGTACCGGTACATTTGTTAATGGCGAGTCTACAGAGATGCTGCAGAGTTGGAGCGGCTGTGTAGAGTGGTTTGGTCAGATAAAGGTGAACAGTGCCATTCCGGGGGGCTTCTGGGCCCGTCCGCTTATCCTTGCACATCTGAACATAGTAGTCGATCAGATGAACCACACTGTCAAATTGTTTCAGCTTGGACTTGACACATATGATAGAGTCCAATCTGAATTTCCCATCTTGGTATTCGATTCGCAGATTAGTTGGTCCAGCTGATGTTTTAACAGATATTGTTAGTAGGTAGTCTGAATGCGAACTATCTCTAATCAAGAAAGTTCCTTCTGGTGCCTCTTTTAATTTCTCTTTGGCTTCATTAACAGTCATACCTCCCCAGTACCAACCTGGGGTTTTTGTTCAAAAGGAAAAAGAAAAAGAGGGTAAATAGTTATTATAAAGAATTTTTTAAAAATAGGGTAAGTACTTGGTAACAGTTTTTCTAACGCTAAAAAATAAGTGTGTGAGTGAAAGTTTAGCAGAGGCTACCATAAATACCTTTGGCAGAAATTTCACAAAATTATGGGTCATTTTATTTTATCAACACAAACAATAAGCCAATTTTCTCTCTTTTTAAAAGTAATTTTCTGTAGCTGTACTTTAAATGACCTTAAGATTTTTTCCTAAAGAAACAAAGGAATAGCTGCGGTGTCACATACTGGCTGACATAGCCTGATGCTTCTAACAGGCTTCCAATGAAATCAAAGATTTAAAGTAAATTAAACATAAATTAGAAGTTAAGAATAAAGGCAATACCCTTAAGAAAGTAGAAAATCCAACTCCAGTAATGCCATTAAAGTCAAAACAAAAGCAACTTTTTTGGAGGTTGGTGCTCTTCCTCTCCAGTACGTGAAAGGCTGCATCTCCTCACTCCAAGCCCCAGAAAGCACTCCTATGTACCTGTTTTAAAAGCACAGTTCTAGGACAATAGCTTCTATTTGCTACTTTGATTATAGCTACTTTATACCTTATTACTCACTGAGAAAGGAGGAAAACCCCAATTGATAAATTAGTACATTCATTGTGTTTAAGATCTTCCCTAAACTCCTTTGGACTTTGATCTAATCCAAATCCAATCACAACCAGTCAGGTCTGCTCAACAATCTCCACTTGATCTGCCTGCACCATCTCCCTGACCCATCCCTTACAAAAAACAAAAACAAAACAAACAAACAAACAAAACAAAACAAAAAAGACTTTTTTAAATCAGTCTGCATTTAAGAAATCGGAACAATGTGTCCCTACCCCCACATCTCCACAATTGCTCGGATACCTGAAAGTGTCTGTTCCTCCAGCTGAGGGGGCAGCCCAGGCCCTACCCCCAACCCTCCCCCACCCCAGCCATGGGAAGACCCCAATCACACGTTAAACAACTTTTCACTCTTTCTAGCGCTACCGAAACTTCAACTTTGCCCCAAATGTAAGCTTATAGAATGCAGATTTTGAAAGTCTGCATGGTCTGCCGGCACATTTTTACCTTTTCATCTTTCGGAGGGCCAGAGACAACAGCGAGTGCGCAAAGCGCAGGGCTGCCCTTGACCAGCACGAGCCCGAGCCCGGCGCGCCCGCGCCTCCGCTCAAGGCAGAACTCCTCGGGGACTTGGCTGTCCGCGCTCCTACCGGGTTTGCGGCAGCCGCCTGCGTGGCAATCTGTCTGTCCCTGAACTTGGCAGTAAAGATCCTGGTCTGCAGTGACCGCTGGGCGCTGAAGCCAGATACCTCTGAAGCTGCAAGCAGCGCAGTGCAGCGCCGGTTCTCGGCTCTTGCACCCGCAAAAAGGGAGGCACCAGGTACTTTCTAGGTTACGCTACGACTGGAGTCCAGGCGCACCCCCCTGAGCAGCCCCGTAACATAGAAAGGTTCCAGCGCCCTAAGACGTGAATTCCAAGGAGTACTCCTCCAGCTCTGTCCTCTCCTTAGGCCTCCGAGTCCCTCAGAACTACTTTCTTTTCATATTCCCCAGGATCCAGAGCCGTGCGAGCATCTTTTCCACAGGTCCCCAGCTCTGAGGCAGGAACAGGAAATGAAGGGACATATTTCCATCTCTTTTTCTGCTTTCCACGTCAGCTCTTACTATACCCCGTCCAGTATAGCCCCCAGTTGCTTCTCTGGGGAAGCGACCCCCTTCCCACTCGGCCTTGCAACCAGTCTGCTTCCTACCTGTTTGACTGAGCTCCCGCAGGGCCTTCGCCAGACGTGCCGCCTCCGGGGCCGGCTCCTCCGCCGACCCCGCGGTCCCCCACTGGCTCCTTGTCCCTTCCGCGCCATTCCCGGAGGGCTCGAGGCACCGCAGGGTCATGGGAGAAGGGTCACCGCGGCACAGACAGGTGGCCGCCCGAGTTGGGGGCAGAGAAGGGCACTCGTCCTTTCTGGAAATCAGTGGAAACCCCAAAACGAGTCCCTGCAGTGTCTCCGAAACGGTAGTGGAGTGGGAAGGGGCAGGGAGTTGCTGTTTCTCCCTCCCCTGGTAGCGGTGGACAGATGGCAAAGTCCCCCGCAGGCGCGATCACCCACAGATTGCCTGAAAAGAAGAAGTGGAGGTGGGGTGGGTCAGTCTGAACTGGACCCCTGCAGCTGGGGTGTGGGTGGAGAGACAGAAACGTGGAAAATCCCGGGGACTTCTCCACGTCTTTGCTCTTGCACCACTTAACCCTAAGCATCCAGTTACTGCCCTGCCCCAACTCAAGAGAAAGGAGAATAAAGAGAGAGCCTGGCACTAAGGCGCAATAGTTGGGGGGCGGGGAGGAGGGAGGTTAGGGAGGAGAAGGGAAGGAAAGGATGAGGGTAGGGAACTTGGTGTCTACCCGCCCAGGGCTGCTCTCTTAAGTAGCAGACCAGAAGAGCAGAGTCACCTGCGGATTCAGTGGTAAACAGGCCCTAGTCAAGAGCAAGTAGGAAAAAAATTTTAAAGAAAAGAAAAGGCGAGCCCCCTAAATTAGCACTCCTATCTCACATTCCACACAGTCCTGGGAGCCCTAGGAGGAAGCAACCGACCCAAACTAGGTTCCCCGCTCTACAGCGCCGCGGGGTTTCTGAGGCCACAGAGCCGACAGCTCCCGGCGCGGAGGTGAGCGATCTGCCGCATCCCCGCCCTAGAAGCTGCCTCTCTCCCCTCCCCCAGCTTCTCCGAGCCCAGCTAGGGCGGTGTGGTAGGGACCCCGGGAGTACGAGGCGCGGGCCTCTCCCGGAGCCTGGTGGCTACCGCCTCCGTTGTGACCGCGGGCGCTGTCGAGGAATCAGCTAGAGCGCGCTGCCCTCGCAGGGGCTACAAGCCGAGGCCCGGTCCCAGCAGGCGGCAGCGAGCGCCATGGGACCTGCAAGACTAGGAACGCCGAGCCCTTACCTCGGCCTGGGCGGCTGCAGCCGCCTCCGCACCAAGCTGCTTTCCAAGCCCACATGGGGCGGGGGAGCGAAAGAGAGCGGCCCAGGAGAGGTGGGGTGTCTGCGGAGTTGCCCCAATTCACTTTTAATTTGGGAACAAGATGCCAGAGGATGCTACCAGTTCTGCGCCCAGCAGCGGTGCCGCAATAATTCTCAGCACTGAAGGGCAAACAAAAGCCCCAGGGATCATCTCCTGAACCCCTCCTCCCCCAGCCTCCGGCAGCCCCAGCCGGCTCAGACACCCCCACCCAGGCAGTGGCTGGGTTGCCTCTCCGATTGTGACCGAGAAGACGGGAAGGAGAAAGGAAGAAAGGATAGAGCCAAGGCGGGAGGCGGCGGGTGGGGAGGAGCAGGAGATCAGGTTATTCGGATTATTAATTGGAGTGGCAGTTTGGAGGGGGAAAACTCTGGAGACTTCCCGACGCTGAGAAGGAATCAGAGAAAACAGGCAGCAGCGCTCGGCGGGGCAGAACCAAGGCTCCGACTCTCTTCCCACCCGCAGCTCTAAACAGCGGAAGCCAAGGCCCCCCGGCACCCGCAGCCGCGCCCGGTGCCCACCCTCCTGACCCTCCTCGGGTCGAGCCTTCAGGCTCCCCGACCCGTACCTGCCGCCAGCCGCGGCCGGAATTCCTCCTGCACCCGGGCTGCGGGCACAGGGGATCGTGAGACTGTGCGCCTGGGGCCCCGGCGTGCAGTGTCCGCGGCCCGCGCAGCGCCGGAGGCGGCGGGCGAGGAGGATCATGCTTCAAGGGAAGCCCAAAGCCCGCGAGCCGCGGTGGCGGCGGCGGCGGAGGCGGCGAGACTTGGCAAGAGTTAATCGTCTGTCCCCGAGCCTTGAGTGCGCGCGACTTCCCTGCCCGACGCGCCTCCCTCCCTTGCTCACCGCCTCCCTCCCTCATCCGCGCTCCTCTCTTGCCCCGCCCGGCTGCAGCAGAGGCCGCCGCTTTCCAGGAACTTTCCAGGAATCAGCATCACGTGACCACGGCCCCAGCTCTCGCTTTAAAGAGGCTGGGGCGCTAAAGCGCAAGCTTCTGGGAGACGCGCTGAGAGCGCGCGAGGGCAGACCAGGGAGCTGTCCACAACTGGGAACCCACCTTTCTCGCACCCCGTGCCCCGGGGTGCTCGGACACGCACAGGAGACACCCTGGGCCACCTCGGATTCAGCTGCTGGAGCTTTGCGGCTGTCCTGTGGCAGCCACGACTGGATTGGCGACAACAGATACCCTCAGCCCACCGCTGGGGTTTGTCTTTCCCATGCCCTCTGAGCCTTCTCACAGGACCCTTCGCACATTTTGGGAGGAGGGTGCAGGAAGACTGAAGGTCCTCGCAAACAGCCCCTTCTTTAAGCCTCGTATGGGGGCAGGGAGGTCCCTTCCAAGCCGCTGTGCCCCAGCCCAAGAGGTGGAAGAAGCGAGAGAAAGGCGCCTCCTCCCCCTCCCCCCCACGCTCCCCTACCCCAGGCATAGAAGGCTGGGGTGGGTATCCGAGAAAAAACGTACGGGTTGGTGGGGGGGGGGGGTCAGAGAACCGGGCCTCCTTAAGCAGCATGGGCCGCCCTCAGTCTCCTCCCCCTGGCAGTCCAGATGGGCTGCCTCCTGCACCAGCTCTACCCAGCTCCTCCCGCTTCCACTCCAGTCTCCTTCCGGCTGCCGGGCAACCCTCCCCACTCACCTGCACCTACTATGGAGGGGGCTCCCTTACCCACCCTCGGGGTGACAATGCGCAGCCAGCCTCAGGTGCCTGCAGTAGCTACCTCTGTGATTTCCCATAGGGCTGGCGCCTGGGCACCGGGAATTCGGAAAGAAACCGGTTCTTCTTCCCTACCCAGCGACCCTCACAGCCTCCCCACTAGTGGTAGGCCACCTGACCTCGGTGGAAACTTTTGTTTTTGCATGCAAGCCTGCCCCGGAAATATAGGCTACTTTAAATGTAACCTACTTCTTAAAAACAACACGGTAAGATGGGACCCAAAATTTCGATAACCACTTTCCTTTGAAATACTATTATATTGCATCACTGCTCAAAAGCTTGAAAGGTCAATGACCACTTTTAGTTGAAGAGGTGGCTATGGAGAAATTGGGCCCAGCTAAGCAGCGGAGGCTGCAATGCTTACAAACCTTGCCTGGTACCCCCCCTGCTGGCTCTGATGAGAAGTTTACTCTTCTCCAGCCTTGGGGGAAGGGGGGGGTGGGGGAGGAGCAAAGGTGCGGGGAGAGAGAGGTGGTAGAGAGGGGACGAATGTTTTCTCAAGTAACTGTCCTGCTTTTGAGTAAACAACTATGCAAATGATAGGCTCGTGAGCCTGGGATGCTCCCAGCTAACAAGGGATTTGTGGATGGTGGAGTCCATTGTGTGCCTGCAATCCTGTTTTGCTTTTTAGTCTTTGATGTGGAGGGCAGAGCTAATTGAACCCCAATTTAAACCCTCTATAAAATAGGTGAATCATTTTGCACAAATCATATACTACTTCTGGATCCTTGCCCTTTTTTTGTATATGAAAGGACTGGATTCCAGTTTGGGGTAAAAAATTGGGGAAAGTAAGTAAATCAGACTCCATCAGGGTAATGCAAATTAAAACCACAATGAGATGCTACCTTACACCAGTGAGAATCACTCATATTAAAAAAATTGGCAACGGCAAATGCTGGTGAAGATGCGGAGGGAGAAGGAACTCTCCTACACTGCTGGTGGGAATGCAAACTGGTCCAACCACTGTGGAAAGCTGTGTGGAGGTTCCTAGGCCTACTAAAAATGGAGCTTCCATATGACCCAGCAATTCCACTCCTGGAATCTACCCAATGGGCACAAAAACATTAATTCAAAAGGATACCTGCACTCCTATGTTTACTGCAGCACTATTTTTGATAGGTAAGATACAGAAACAACCCAAAAGCCCAAAAATAGATGACTAGATCAAAATGGTATGGTGTATATACACAATATAATACTATTCAGCAAATCAAAACAACATCAAGGATGGAGCTGGAAAGGATTATGCTCAGTGAAATAAACTAGAAAGAAAAGAAAAAGTTTGAATGGTTTCACTTAGGAAGGAATGTAAGGGAACCAAATAAGAGACCAGGAAAAAGTAATTATAATAAATTTTAAAAATTAACAGGCAACTACTAATCAGAGACATCCTGCAAGGGAGAAGAGCGGGGATCTAAACAGGGGAGAGAATGTTTTACATAAGGGACTATGGTGAAGGTGCACAGGTGAATTGCTGGTGGGAATTTTGCAGGGGACTACACCTGAGAGGAGAAAGCATGCATTATACAAAAAGCAGAATGATATAAAGGATATATAAAATTAAAAAAATATACACCAGATTCCGTAAAAAGCGTGTGTGTAGTCTGCGGCCCAGAACCTTTAAGGAGTCATCACATCTACTAAGGTTCACTAAATTGTCCCACCTGACTTCTTCCTTGGTCGACAATTCTAGAGGAAGGGTGTGCCCACTCTTCCACAGCCTGGATTTAAAGGTTTTCTAAATTTTACAAAGATCATTTGTTGCCAGCTGAAATGAATTTGCCAGCAGCCCTTCTTAATGTGCTCTCTTGTCACCTGCCTTTGCTTTTTCCTGGAATGTCCTGTCCTAGACTGGGTGCCCGGCCAGCTGATATCATTCAGATCCCAGCTCAAAGTCACTTTCTCAAGAGAGCATCATTACCCATAAAGACTGCAATCAGCACATCGCCAAATAGGGATACCAAGCTTTGTACGAAACTTAAGATTTGTTTCTGAAGTGTTTCTTAGCAATTCCCAGCATTTCATTGGTCTTTTAATTCCCAAGAAACACTTAAAGATGTTTATGGGACCATGCTAAGTGGGAAAAAGTAGAATATGAAACTGCCCATGCTACAATTAACAGCCTTATAAAATTATATATGCATGTAGGTAAAAACAAGGTAAAAATTTATATGCATGTGGAGAGATGAAAGCATCTGTTTTTAGGGTGGCAGGCAGGGGGGTGTGTATATTCTATTTTGACTTTCCCTGATACTATTGTATGTTTAATACGATCCTTTCCTCAAACTTGCATGTGGGTCAGTGTGTTCAGTTCTCTAAGAGAACAGAGGGTGTAACTCCGGTCCTAATAGGCCTCCTGAACTCCACACCTGCGGCACAGCATACCCTTCGGATGTCTAGTAGGCATCTCCAGCTTAATAAGTCCCAGCTGAACCTGGACAGCCACCTCCACCACTACCCGCCTCCCCCCAAAAAGTCATTCCTCTGCATTCTACCCCATCTTTAAAAACGTCAATTCCAATCTTTAGTTACTCACATAAAAGCACTAGTCTCATCCGTGATGGCTCTTTCTCATATGCCCACATCCCGGCTGCTGGCCAATTCTTTGAGTCTGACTTCAGGATAGACGCAGAATAGAAGCATTCACCACTGCCTCCCCACCACACCTGGCCAGTGCTAGCCTACCCAGTGTACTGCAGCAGCGTGCTCCTGGTACGTCTCTAGGCGCTTCCTGACAGTGAGGGTGGTCCTGCTCAAGTCATTGCATGTCCCTTCTCTGCCCCAACACAAAGGGGGCTGCATTGCCCCAGAATAAAACCCAGTGGCCAGTCAAGAGCCTAGAAGATCCAGTGTCACTTACTTTCCTTCCTTCCTTGATCACTCTATTCAAGTCCCAGTGGACTTGCTATTTCTGGAAACATTCCACTTTGCGCCTTCCTCAGAGCTTCCATCTTTGCTGTTTCCGCTATCAGATCTCTGCGTAGTTTGCGCCCTCACTTCCTCAGATGGTACCAAAGTCACCTTCTTGGTGAGACCTTGGCTGATTACCTTACTCAGAATTGACTCTCCCAATGCCCCGCCAGCCCCACCCCCACTCTGGCTTGCTTTAGTTCTTTCCCTAACACGCATCAGTAGCTAACCTATTGTGTTTTGGTTCTTGGCCCAGTTTTCCATCTCTGGCTAGTGTGCCTGGAGTGACTCTGGGCAGACGGTTCCCTTAGGTGGACACCACCCCTTTCTTTTAGACTTTGCCATCTTACACTACCATCCTTGCCCACAAACACACACCTGCCCCTCACAAATCCCTGTAATTCTGGAATTCCTTTCTATTTAGAATGTAATCTTCATAAACACATTTTGTGTCTGCATTATCTAATCATGTCCTAGCACCTTGAATACTTTCCAGCATATAGCAGGCGTTTCACATCATTGCTGAATTAACGTGCAGATGATCTGGCCAGGCATGACTCCTTACTCTGTCGCTGCTGTTGCATGTGATCGCTGAAAATTAGTCTCTTATGGAGATAGTAATAGAATTTATCATAGAAAGTTATTTTAAGAACTAAGTGAAATAATATATGAAAAATGCTATGGCACTCGGCAAATAATAAAGATGAACTTCAGTTCAACTAACATCCTTTTATGCTCAGTGCATTTGGATTTTTCTCCCTGTGAATAAAATTATCTTACATTTGCCTGTACGAAACTCAGTGGGTCACCTTATCACTGCCTGAGAACTTCTTGTATTTGATTCCCTGAAGCTCACCTTTAGCTTTCAATTTACAATACTAAAAAAAAATTCCATTTATTCCTAGATTTTAGGAACATACTCTATTCTGTTTAGTGGGGCCATTTCACAGCAGGTGTGATGAACTGTATTTTTCAGAAGGAGGGAAGGGCGAGTTATATTCACAAAGTGTGCCTGCATTGAGAATTGAGAAAATCCCCTCTGTCAAACCCAAACTGGAGATTGTTGGTTTTTTACACATTCTAAAACTGGAATTGATGAGTGCTCCACATCGAGTTCATGGAGCTGCGGAGAGTGGGAAGAAGGAGCTATAGAATGAATTCTGGCTAGTGTGCCTGGAGCGACTCTGGGCAGACAGT